AGGAAGCAAAACTGTTGGCCATGATATTAAAAATATTTGGCATTCAAATCAATAGCATTTGAATGAGTAAAACCATGAGCTAGATACAAAACTAAAATTCATCCTCTTTGTCATTTCAGGGTCATTCCTCAATTACCAAGTTTTATCAATACTGCAAGGTTAAGCTAAAACCTGGCTGAGCCTTGCTCTCCACAACATTCATGACATCCAATATTTCCTGTGAAAGAAGCATGTTTTTTCCTGCCATTTTTATAAAGAGTATAAGATCTTGTACAAATTTACACAATGTAAGGAGAGGTTACCAAACCATGAAGTTGTAGGTCAGAGCAGGTCAGTATAAATAACTTCAACAAATTGCAGCAAGGCTGGTAAGAAAATGGTGGTGATGATAAACTGCTTATTTGGATTGGGAACAAGGACTTCCATATGTGGAATAACTCTGAATAAACACTGATCCTAAAAATCAACTTTCCCACAAGTTCTATACTTCCATTTTATGTATGCTTAAGATTTGTTATCTGATGTATCAGGAATGCGTAGATACTGTTATTTATTATTTTTTTTGATAATGTATTGAAGGCATTGTTATGTCTTACTTTGATTTTATTATATCTCTTATCAATTTGATAGTCAACATTTCCTGGAGCAATGTGCAAATCATTGAAAGTGATTGGAAAACAGAAAAAAAAAATCAAACTATCAAAGCAAATTAAAAATAGTAGAGAATACATTAAAACATATACACATCCTCTAGCCCATTTTAGAGCAGCCACATAGTACAAAATTGAGATTAAAATGTTTGAGAAAAAAATAATGACTAAGGCTGGAGCTAAAAAGACATTAACATGGTGGTTATGCAACATCATATAATTGCTGGTAAAATCTGGATGATTCTTGATGGCATGGGAGCAAAGACTGCTGCTTCTCATAATAGTTGTCATTGTCTTTTTCTATCCAGATATGGCCACAAAACTGAGAAGGCCTTTTCTTTTGGTGTATTTTAATTACTATATTTGGTTAAAATATTGAAGATGGCCTTTGAAAAAAGATTATATGTAGAATAGAATAGCAAATGTGGATATGAAGCTCTGAGAATTTTATTATATTTGAAGACTTGCAGATTTTATTTATGTTATGACTTTTAAACACCTTATCCATTGGTGGGATTCAGCCAGTCTGCACCATTTTGGCAGAACCAGTAGCTAATTTTTTGTTGCCCAAGCCCAAAATGGACTTCTAGAAGCGGCATCCACACAGCGGCATTCACTGCTTTTATACATCATGCAAAATCATTTTAAAAGAAAAAGCCAAATTCAGAGATAGAATCCATTGGCATCTGGGAATCATTTTTTTTAAATATAGTATTTTAAATATTAAATATTTTTTGTATTTTTGTACTCAGTTTTGCTGACAGTCATGTTAAAAAGTGTACAGAGATACCTATGTAAGCTGGTATACATTTTCCCCTTTTAAAGGTTTTGTTAAAAACTACAGCTCTTCCCTGAATCACTGAATTTTTACTGATGTTGGGTTTTGTGTGTAATGTTTTTCATATCACAGATTGTCTTTAGCCCTCCAGATGCAACTTCCTATATTTGGATGTTTGTTTCCATGTAAATTAATATAGGATTGAAACATTTTTCATTTGCTTCTTGTTGATAATGAGATTTAAAAGCAGAACCAAGTAAATAAGCCATTTTCTCTTTGTTTTCTTCCATTCTAGAGCTAGATTGTACACAGTACAAGGTTTTAACTTGTGTTCTTGGCCATTTCTTTTTTGAAAGGATATTCATTGCAATTTCAATTAACAAAATTAATTGGGTCACAAATCCAGTCCAAGAACCTGCAGATACAAGTCAAAGAGTGAAAGCAAACAAACATTTCAGCAAAAATGCCAAAAGTTATTTTACTAATTTCATTGCACTCATATTTTCTTGGGAATACCTTCCACTTTTGATCATTTCTCATCCAAGTTTGAATCAGATTTCATCCTACTTAGATTTTTTTACACCAGCCATACTATGTTTGCAGTTTGTTTGTGATGATATCATATCACAAGGTCTTCAGCATGGCCCTGCTATATAGAAGCTATATTTATCTTAAATGCCTCTTCAGTATCAAATGCATACTGTTTTGTAATTGTAGACTTTCTTGGTCAAAGATACTTTGTTTGTTGCTTTAGATGCCCCAGGAAGGACGGACACCTTACGGACCCGGTGGCCACAAGGCTTATTTTCCGCCTTTCCGCCACTACCACTCATTCCAGCGACCATCCGCAAACTAATTCACGAATGGGCGGAACTGATACTCATGGCCCCTTACTGGCCACAGAGACCGTGGTTTGCCGACTTGATGAACCTGTCCCAGTCATCCCCATGGAGGATTCCTCCACATCAGGTGTCACTACATCAGGGGACCCTCAGTCATCCGGATCCCCAATGGTTGCAGCTGACCGCCTGGCGCTTGAGCGCAGCATAAAGGCACAAGAATCATTTTCATCTCGAGCCATCACAGTGATTCAGGCTGCGCGCCGTCCTGCGACCAATCATCTATGATTCCACTTGGAAGAATTTTTGCCTTTGGTGTAGGAGGCGACAACTTGTCATCTCCAAATTAACCATCCCCCAAATAGTGGAATACCTGTTGGACGGACTGGACAGAGGCCTTGCCCCTGCGACTGTTCGCAGACAAGTAGCAGCACTGTCCACTCTTATTTTGTGTCAGGATTCTGTCCCCTTGGCTCACCATCCCAGGATTCATGCCTTTATCAGAGGAGCGTACAACACCAGACCTCCTGTTGTTCACAGGTACCCAACTTGGGAATTGCCGAGGGTTCTCCGTGCCCTCACAAAACCACCATTTGAGCCTCTGGGAACCATTTCCTTCAGACACCTGTCCCTAAAGGTGGCGTTCCTGATAGCCATTACATCAGCCAGACGGATATCAGAAATGGCGGCCTTATCGGTCAGGAATGACCTCTGCGTTTTCCATAGTGACAGGGTTGTCCTACATATAGATCCTTCGTTCGTCCCAAAGGTAAATTCTCTTTTTCACGGATCAGAGGAAATAATTTACCAAATTTTTGTCCAAATCCGAGTCATGACGTGGAGCAGCAGTGGCATACTCTGGATGTCCGCAGGGCCTTGAGGTGGTACCTCAAACGCACGGAGCCATTCCGTAGATCAGAAGCCCTTTTTGTATCATTCCGATCGGCTTCCTTGGGGCAAAAGGTTTCTGCGGGCACCATTGGCAGGTGGATCTGGCATTGTATAGCAGAAGCGTACCAGTCTGCTTCTCTGCCGACTCCAAGTCATCTTACAGCCCATTCCACTCGCAGTGCTGCAACCTCTGCGGCTTGGGCCACTCAGGCATCCATTGAGGAGATTTGCAGGGCTGCGACATGGTCCTTGCCATTTCCATTTGTACACCATTACAAAATTGACCATTTTGCTTCGGCGGATGCCTCCTTTGGTAGGAGGGTCCTCCAGCAAGTGGTCTCTGAGGACTCTATTCCAGCTTTACCTGTTCCCCGCCCATCGGGACAGTGAGGCTTTGGTATGTCCCATTGGTGGATTATCCATCTCCTGTATCCATCTTACCTGAATGCCTTTTCTCAGTACGGAGATGGAGAATCCACACCCACCCTAGGGTCAGTTAGGCCGTTCTAGGGAACTGAGAGCCATCGTCAAGTTCATCTTCAGCCGCTTCACCCCCGTTAAGACTGGATCTCCTGGCAAGAGGGGGCATGGCTTGTTTGGCTACTTGGTCTCAAGAGCAGGCAGACAGAGAAAATTGAATTAATTTCAATTGGTGGCTAACCGATATAGGAAAGACCTGTGATGAAGGCTTATTTACCAGTGTAGCTGCCTGTAACCAGGCCTGTTAGGCCTGAACAGGCCTCCATGTGGGGCCTAAAATGGCCACGACTATAACAATGAGGCCTGTGCACTTGATGGATATTAATCAGTAACGAGGGGAAGAAGAACTGCTTCCTGTGTTGCTGCTGAAGCTGGGAAGCTGAATTCCACAGCTGAAAATTTGGCTGAGAAAATGGCGTCAGCTAGGGCTTTGGGCTGCTTTTACAGCCTCCGCAGATCGGATTCAGGCCAAATTCGAGGCAAGAGCCTGTAATCCTTTCCCTAACTGGGGAAGGATAGCTGGGAGGGCAGGAGAAAAGGCACAGCAATTTGTCTCTGCAATTGCCTTCTCACTCCCTCCCACCCAGGGCCCTGGGAAAGAAAGAGGTGAAAGGCAAAGGGGATAATATGGGAAAATTCCCCCCCCCACATGCCATGAGATTTACCAGTGTTTCACATGGTATTGATACCTATGGCCAGGCCTGTTAGGCCTGAATAGGCCTCCACGTGGAGCTAAAATGGCTGCCACTGTTAGAATGAGGCCTAGTCAGTTGAGGGATGCAAAAATAACCAGGAGGGAAGAAGACAGGTTTGAGGAATCCTGCTGCCAAAACTGGGGAATTTTCCCCCCCCTTGGCTGTGGATTCCCCCCCCTGCTTATGGGAAATTTTCCCCCCCACACACGCACCCCCACCTCCCAGATAGGGTAGGGAACAGGGCTGATCCCAGCCCTGATGGGAAATTGATCAGGAAAACAATTTAGAGTTTCCAATAATAATGAATGGCAAGAATCCACCAATGTATTTCCCTATCTAACCTGCAATTGATTGAGAGCCAAGTCACAGAAGTCTTGCAAATATTGTGGCAAATATATTTTTGACCAGCATAGGAGTAGAGAAAGTATTTTTCAATATTGACAAAGTTTAATTTGATGTCCTATTTATTTCCATTTATCATTCTTGAATTATAACTTGTACCCTACTCATATTTAACAGGTTATTTTCGAAAAAAATAGTAATGTAGGCCAGCAAGAAGCCAAACCTCTTGGAGCAATCACTGCAAACTGGGAGCATCCACAAAGAGATGAAAATAGTTATGATGACAGCTATTACCATGTGATATAAGCCCCTCCCTTTTTCATACCTGTTGCAGTAGGCAGGGATGGGAGAGCAGACTCAAGAGGAAAACTGGGGTACTTCTTTTATCCGAGGGTGCCTGCTGCCCGTGACCTCTTGGTTTGTATTGCTGTAATGGCTAGTTATGCTTTAGCTCAATTCCCAAAGGGGATGTCTTCAGATTCATCTTAAAAAGAAGTAGATAGAATAATGCTAATAATGTACTGAATAAAGAAAAAAAAGCAACTGACTAAAAAACAATAGTAATCATCTTATCCTTCAGGAGAAAAACATCTCAAATTTTGGATTTTATTTTTCAATATAATAATTTCACTTTCTTTTTCATTAGCTGCCAAGCCTGATAACCCTTGTAGGATGTAACATAGCCCTTCCCTCTTGCAATCATAGACTGTGGCTTCTGGAATTACACAAGATATATTTCCAAATGGACTAAAGTTAAATTTCGATTTATCATAGGGGAATTTAGGAATGAACTAGAAAAAAACCCAAGACATTTCTCATTTCTTTGTTTAAGGATTTTGACTTCTTGCTGCCAGTTGTTCCCCCCCCCCCAATGTTATCTTTCTATACAAAAGGTTGATTCCTGTGTAATAACAAACTCAGTTAGAGTCAAACCATTTTTTTCAGTAACAAGAAAATTCCATTATTATGTATTTTCCTGCAAAGCATAAAAAGAATGTTTTAGAATGCAGAAGATATGGCTGAATGGATTAAAGATTAAGCAAGCAGAAAACGACAAAAGTGCATTTCTGGAAATTGGCAAGAAAAGCAAAGAAACAGTGTCTCAGGAGACTGGGTGGAACAGTGATGAATCAGGGAAAGAATTACAGGAAGGGCAGAGTAAGAGAAGGCGGATGCTAAGAGAATACAATGGGGAAAAAAGAGAAAATATGGATGAGGTGGGTGGTATTTTGAGAGGGCGGAAGAAAACACATACACACTTGCTATTCGTGAATAAATCGTCCAAACAGACAGGGATAATTCTACAGGCAATTTTATTTTAAAAAAAAAATGGTATTTCACATCAAAATTTTAAAGAATCTTCCTACTCCCTAAGATCCCCCAGCTTTGCTCTCTTTTTGGTTATTATACTATTTTATTTGTTCCTTCATACATGTGGAAATGGACATAGATTATTTTAGAATGCAATTGACAGAGACATGATAAGTGTGTGACATTTGTTTGATCTGTGTAGAGCTGCAGACTAAAATGACAGTTGCTCTACATTAAGTTGTACACAGAAGCATTAGCTAGTGCTGGTTTAATGCTTTTACAATATAACTGTTGAGCAATCAGTTCAACAACTTACATTTCCTTCCCTTGTCATGGTTGGTCAATGTTTAAAAACTCTTCCATCTAAAAGGAAAATGAAAGTTTCTTACCACCACCCAGGTGTTGTTGTTGTGTTGTACTTTTTAGGTATGGGTCCGATAGCACATAAATATTATAAAAAACTAAGCAGATGATCAAGCATGTCCCTTTTAACATTACACAGGAAGAAAAAAAGGGAAGTTCCTTAATAAGCCTTGTCTCAGCATCCAATTTATTCTGAAGGCTGGTTATTGTCAAAAGTTCTCAGAGAAATCCCTCAGGCCACAAAGCTCTCAAATTTCCTCATTAAATACTATTAATTAATTTGCCTGGATTAGTTGCTTTCTAACTGCAGTAGCAACCATGCAGTTTATATCACTATTTTACAGTATCAGTGCCATCCACTTGTAATCTAAAGGAGGGGTTTTTTTGTATTTTTTATAATTGTTACTTCATAAACTCCAACATTTACAACAATAACACATCAAATCATACAACCATATAAATTGCTGACTCACAGATTCAGTAACAAAATCTAAACATTTGGACCAACAAAAACAAAAAATTGTATTCTCCTCTCTCACCATTTATGGTTACTATACAAATGACCACTTAAAGAAAATTGGTTTTACAGCCTTCTAGTTCCCTGTCATGGTGGGGTCCAATATTACTTCAGGAATTAAGATATTCACAAGTATGGGAAGAATCCAGAGAAAGAAATATTTTGGGAAATATTAAAAAGGCAGAATATATTTCCCCAAAGATTCTTAAAAGCAGAAACCAACCTCCCCCTCCAAGTCTTTCTGCCCCAAACAGAAACCAGGTCTGCAGAAATCAGATGTGATAATCTTGTCAGAAAGATTGGAGCCAGGAAGCTTGGATTAGAAAGACAAAGATCCCTAGAGAACAATCCCTCACACCAAAAAATCCAACAGTCATCAGCCACAGCCCCAGGGAAGCAGGATATGACCTTTGGGACATAATAAGATTAACCCACCACCATCAGAATACCAGAAAGGCACCCTTAGACTCAGATCAAAGTTCATGCCATAGGAACAATTTCAAACAAAAGACCAAGAAGGTATAAAAACCCACCACTCCCTACTACATGTGGTCAGCTTTCCCAGCTCTCCTCTTTAATAAACTACAATCTTCTTTCTAAAGCCGTCTCCATTTTATTTATTCCTAGTTTGGACTGGACCCAGCTGAAGATTTTTCTTTCAATACAAGGTTCAGGCTACAAGCCAAAAGGCTGCCAATTTCTTTATTAGGATAGGTCTATTTCTATCCCCTGCCTTGATCACTGTACTACATGGGTAGAACTAATTTGGCAAAATCAGCTTTGAAGGCCACCAGAAGTTGAGTCATGCAGAGCTTTACTGGTTAAAACTAGCCCTTTGATTTTGACTTGAAAACTATTGACAGTCAATTCATATGTCTAGTATTGGTGTTATGCTGCTAAAATGATTCATGCCTGCTAGTAGCAAGGCCACTGCAATGTGATGATCCTGTAGTTTTTAAGACTTTCAAAAGCAGGTCCATGTAGGGTGTGAGTCCCTCCTATTGAAGTTGGGTTCATGGGTTCAGTTGGGCTTGCTGCTGATGTACCTACCTCCCAGCTGCGTTGCAACAGCCCTGCCTGCGTTGCTGGAGTCAGTAGCTGGGTTGGCGGTGGAGTTCCCCAGACTTATGGTACTGGGGGACTTTAACCTGCCATCACTCGGCGATCGCTCAGAGGCGGTGCAAGAGTTCATGGCTTCCATGGCAACCATGGACCTGACCCAGGTAATCCAGGATCCGACTCATAGGGGTGGTCACACACTCGACCTTGTGTTTCTCTCGAAGCAATGGAGACATGATCTGGAATTAAGGGGAATAGAGATCTCTCCCTTGTCACGGACAGATCATTTCCTATTGAGGTTGGACTTCAGAGCATCACTCCCCCATCGCAGGGAGAGGGAGCCGACTAGGTGATTCCACCCCAGGTGCCTAATGGACCCAGATCGGTTCCAGGAGGAGCTTGGGGAAATACCTGACTCCCTTGTCCACAACTCATCTGGGTCCCTGGTTGCGGCCTGGAATGAGGCGGCGTCCGGGGCCCTGGATCGAATTGTGCCTTTGCGACCTCTCTGTGATGGTGGTCCCCGGAGGGCGCCTTGGTTTACTGAGGAGCTCCGGGAGACGAAGCGCCACAAGAGACGTCTAGAGTGACATTGGAGGGCCAGTAACTCTGAATCTGACCAATCACTATTAAGAGCCTATCTTAGGACTTATTTAGTGGCGATAAGGGCGGCAAAGCGTGTTCACTTTTCTGCACTTATTGCATCTGCAGAATCTCGCCCGGCTGCCTTGTTTAGGGTGACCCACTCCCTTCTTAAAGTGGAGGAGGCGGAGGAACCCTTGCAGGGGAGAGCTGAGGAGTTTGTTCAGTTTCTTTCGGACAAAATCGCTCAGATTCAGAGAGACCTGGACTCCGACTGGGCAGTGCCAGCCGAGTTGCCAGGGGCTGGTCTTAGTCATGTTATCTGGAGCGAGTTTGAGCCTGTGACCCCTGATGAAGTGGACAAGGCCATGAGGGCAATGAATGCCGCCACCTGTTTATTGGACCCGTGCCCCTCCTGGCTGGTTTCTGCCAGTAGGGAGGTGACACGAGGCTGGCTCCAGGCGATAATCAACGCCTCCTTGATGGAGGGGTCTTTCCGCAACCTTTAAAGGAAGCGGTGGTGAGGCCCCTCCTCAAGAAGCCTTCCCTGGACCCAGCTGTTTTGAAGAACTTTCGTCCTGTCTCCAACCTCCCCTTTGTGGGGAAGGTTGTAGAGAAGGTGGTGGCGTCCCAACTCTTGCGATCCTTGGATGAAACTAATTATCTGGACCCTTTTCAATCTGGTTTCAGGCCCGGCTACAGCACTGAGACTGCTTTGGTCGCACTGACCGATGACCTCTGGCGAGCCCGGGATAGGGGTCATTCCTCTATCTTGGTGCTTCTTGACCTCTCAGCGGCTTTCGATACCATCGACCATGGTATCCTTCTGCGTCGACTTGGAGAGGTGGGGGTGGGCGGCACCGTATTGCAGTGGTTCTCCTCCTACCTCTCTGACAGGTCACAGTCGGTGTTGGCTGGCGGATAGAGATCGACCCCTAGGCGCCTCGATCATGGGGTGCCTCAGGGCTCGGTCCTGTCCCCCCTCCTTTTTAACATCTACATGAAACCGCTGGGTGAGATCATTCGGCGACATGGGGTGAGGTATTATTAGTATGCGGATGATACCCAATTGTATATCTCCATCCCGTGTCCTTTCAGTGAAGCAGTCGACGTGATGTGCCAGTGCCTGGAAGATGTGAGGGTCTGGATGGGGGTGAACAGGCTTAGACTCAACCCTGACAAGACCAAGTGGCTCTGGGTCTTGCCTCCCAAAGGTCAACTGGATGGTCCATCATTAGTCCTGGGGGGGCAAATTTATCTCCCTCAGTGCAGGCACACAACTTGGGTGTCCTCCTGGACTCATAGCTAAATTTGGAACCACATCTATCGGCTGTGGCCAGGGGGACCTTTGCCCAGGTTTGCCTGGTGCACCAGTTGCGGCCTTATTTGGACCAGGAGGCTTTACTCATGGTCATTCATGCCCTTGTCACCTCAAGTCTGGATTACTGTAATGCGCTCTACATGGGGCTACCCTTGAAGAGCGTTTGGAGGCTGCAGTTGGTTCAGAATGCAGCCGCAAGAGCAATTGTGGGCGCGCCAAGGTACGCCCACATGTCACCTATCCTCCGCGAGCTGCACTGGCTTCCTGTGGGTGTTGGTTATCACCTTTAAAGCCCTTCATGGCATAGGGCCAGGTTACCTACAGGACCGCA